TCTGTTATAATTAAATAACAATTAAATAATTACCTTCTCATTCATGTTTGTACAAATGAATGTTTGAAGATGCAAAATCTGAAATGTTATAAATAAACTCTCTGTGTTTTGGAATACCAATTCAATGTGTGTATACCAGAAAGAACAAAAAAAAAATCACATTTGCCATGTTTCATTATCACTATCTTACTATACTGACAGGTAACACTAAAAATAGGTGTGTGTGAAATCACACCTGTTCCTGTGACCGTCTGCGAATGACCTGTGCTTTTTAATCAGAAACAATGTCTGCTTGCAAAATGACATTGAATAAATGCATGAACAATATTAAGAAAATTTAAGCAGCGTTAAGCATATTTAATCATGTTAGTTTTGACAGCTTTATTTACAACTGATATGGTCAAATCGGACTGAAGAATAAGGAACATCTTTTTCTTTTGCAGTCTTCAAGAGTTACTACATTCCAGTCGAAAACTGTCATTAAAAGTTCTCAGTTTTGTTCAGTCATTCCAGGTAAATATTCACTGATTTTCTATTTTATATTATTGTTCCTAATATAATGTGGATTTAGTTCATAGCAGTTCAAAAATGTAATTCAGCAGTATTACACTGTCATCATGCATCATGGAGTTTAAAGAAATCAGGAACTTAAAAAAGTCAATTTCTATGCATATCTAGTTACCCTGTGAAAAATCCAGCATAAGGTATGTTTAGTATGCTGGGATCAGCATGCTACACCAGCTCTGTTACCAGCACCATACCAGCTCTAACCGGCATAAACCAGCCTGGACCAACATGAAATTCATGATGCTTTATGCTGGATTTTTTTAGCAGGGTATGCTCTGCTGTAGAATATTTCATCAGCTAGAAATTGCTCTTTGGGAGTGCAATCTCTAGAAAAATGAGACTCCAGGTGTTTTTTTTCAGTCAAATGTTGAATGTGTGGTGAGTTTACCATTTTTCACCGTCCCTCACAGGACGGAAAACAGCCTGCGGACCCTGACAGTGGGGTCTCGGGCCCCCTGTGTCAGCCCCCGGCAGAAGCTGGCGTCCCCCTCCCTGCGATCAACCTGTTCTTCAAGGACGGCAAGCTGAAGGAATGGAGCGGGCGAGCGCCTCCCTCTCTACACATCTCTGCCCCACAGAGAGATCAGCCCACATAAAATAGCACTCTAAAAATCTCCACACCATACTCCACTCACTTATGTCATGAGTTACCATGTTACCTGTGGCACTCAATCACACACAGCCATCAAGTGCTGCCGCCACTCATCACATCTGGATGCGAGCGTCCAGAGTGACTCAAAAATCCCTACGGTTTCAATCAAACATCTCCCCATTCACCCAACGTCACACCATTACAAAATAGAAAAGCTATTTACAAATGATCCTATATTGACCTTTTAATGTGTATATAGACTTTGCTCGGAAAACATAGGACCAATCCTGTGGTTGAAAAGTCACCCTACTCGTATTGTCATGTTTTGTGACCTGATGCATGATATCACTGCACAAAATCTCAAAAACTACTTGACTGAGGGTTTGAAAACATGACGTTGAGGTTTTCTTTTTGCACAAAGCCTGTGGATGACATTCAGGTATAATCGATTTGTTTTGTTTTTTATTTTCTTTGTAAATCAAGACCTTTGTCGGGACTTACAGTCTATTTGGTTGAGTCGTATTCAAGCTTGAAAACCTGTCTCTCAGTTCTGCTTAGCAGAGGAGCATTTCTGCTTCACTGAGACCAAAGACCAACTTGTTTTATGTTGATTTTTACCATTATTTTACTTTCTTGCTGCCTTATTTCCGTTGTGCCCAGTAGACTGCTGAGTCATCAAATGCATTTATTTCCACTTGGCCAGTTTTGACAGATTCAATTCGGTTTAGTCTAGCTGAGGCACATAAACCTGCAATTAGTGACAAGGTCATCGAATATCAAATAAGTACCTCGATGTGTTGAATATCAGTATAGGTTTAGAGTTTGTCGTGCGAATATTATGCAGTAAACAGCATTAAAATCCCCCTCAGTGGCCTGACCTTTTCTCTCATGCCTTTACTTGAGGGTGTTGCCAGTGTTTTCCCAAACAAACCTTATAGTGGTGTATGATGATGATGAAGACCGATTAGAGATCTTGATGCTGCATGATGAGTGTGTAGAGTCGTTGTGTGTATTGTGCGCCGTTCTCTGCTCATCTCTTTATTTCCCCTGTCCATTCCTTCCTGCATCGATATGATCCAAAACATCAGCGGCCCCGTGCCTGACCCTGTCACAGTGTTAGGGAAAAAAAAAAAAACGATAGTTTTATAAAGTCACCCTGCATTTTAGGAACTCTCTGTTGTTGTGTACTTGATTGGACTGTGTTCATTCTCTTGTAATTAAATGGGTACAGAAGTTACATTTCCCCTCTCACGCCATCCCGTTCTCCAAAATATATGTCATAACAAATGAATATGTATAAAGTATATGAAAGTACTAATAAATATGTTACAAAAACACCAATTATAAAGTGTTAGCGTGCTGTGTTTCATTTCGAAAGCTGTTTTCTTCAGGTTGTTGATGGCTCAGCTACAGGCAGGCCGGCTCCCTGGTGACTCTAATTACTATAGCAACACAAATTCGGGGTGTCACCAGGGGGCAGTGAGGCCCTGAAATGGGGCATGTTATCATAGGAATAGAGGGGGAGAAAAAGCATCTGATGATGTATTTTCTGTCCCACAGTATGTGCAAGACCAGTGTACGTAGTGGTTTTATTTTTTTGTCATTAATTTTATAATTAATCTTCTTGTAGCTTAATAATTGAAAATGGTTTTATCTGGAGACTTGCTCTTTAAAACTAGGTCAGTAACTGAAGTCAGAAACTTTCAATATTTCAAGAAATGTGTGTATGGGAGGAAATTTGACAGCGGGTGGTTACATTTCTATTGTAGATGTTCTTGCAACCTCTGAAACTTTTAGCCAGAAAATTTTCTTTCTACCCTTTCATATTTCTAAGCAGTGCTTTAAAAAACTGGTACTATCTACATTAATAACTATATGTGTAATGTATTTGTCACTTATTTGGAAGGAGGTTAAATACTTTTATTTACAGTTGAAAAGACTTGAGGCTCACTTTAAATAGACCTCATTTGTGAACAGGAGTGTTTGTAGACTTTCATCAGTAGCACAAACCCCATTAAAATGTGTCCCAATATTATGTGATAATGTTATGGATATAAATTGCCTATAGCTGTAGTAAGTCATTCACAACCTGTACTCGCAATAGAGATGCTAAGGTGCGTTTACACCAAGGACGACAACTATAATAGCCAATAACTACTATACTGATAACTATATAATTACATAATGATAACTGCTTTCACGTCCACGCCAAGACAATGACGCTCTGTTTATTATAAGTGCTGTTTATGTCGTCTATGTTTCAAATGTGCAAGCTCAGTTGGATTCTGACTGGCTGTCAATAGTTTTATTGTTCATCAGTTGGAAAATAAACAGCATGTTGTCTGTTGCTTTGCTGCCATTACATGTTATCAGAAATGATGTCCTTCCCCACTTCTGAAGTCGTGATTACAAGCTTTTGATGGAAAGAATAGGAATCATTGAGAACAACATGGTTTAGTCTTGCCTATTTCTTGGGGAAATCTTATTGAAGTCAAAATGTTTTGAAGAAATTTTGAATAAAATGTAGTGTCACATTATTCTATCTGAGAGCTTGCTGAGGATTTTTGAATTTCGGTCAAATATGCTATTTCCTATTTTTTTTTATTTTTTATGAAAGTTGTGTTTAATCATCAGCAATACGTCTCGTTTCCGTTCTGTTGTTAAACGGACATATAGAAAATATCTTAAAGATGTTTATGATTTAGAATGAATGTAAAACTGACATCTTAAAAACATTTGTCAGATGTTTCTACACAGCAGATGCTTTCCAGATGAAGCTTCCCATACGTCTGCAAGATGTCTGTTAAAGATTACTTCATCTGGAAAGCATTTGCTTTTTACTAACATCTATTTAACATTCATTTTAAATCATTACATCTTAAAGACATCTTCTAAACGTCTATTTGACATCTGACAGAAAATGTCCAATAGACGTATTACAGATGAGCAAACACTTTAAAAAACGTGCCTTCCAGATGTAAACACACACATCAAATAGACGTCTCTGTGATGTGCTATGAGGGATGTGTGATATCTAGCCTAACCAGATAGCACAAGTCTATTTGATGTGATGTTTACATCTGGAAGACGTATTTTTAAGAGTGTTTGCTCATCTGCAATACGTCTATAGGATGTTTCCTGTCAGATGTCAAATAGGCGTTTAGAAGATGTCTTTAAGATGAATGCATGTTAAACTGACATCTTCTAAACGATTTGACATCTGACAGGAAACATCCTATAGACGTAGCCTATTGCAAATGAAACACTCTTAAAAATACGTCCTCCAGATGTAAACATCACATCAAATAGACTTGTGCTATCTGTTGTGTTAACAAACTAATAAAGAGTCACAAAAGCAATAATTAATTCTCCTATATCTGCGTTTAAAGTTTTTAGTACGCCGGAAACTCGGGTATCAAAATTATTTTCTCATTTATGACTTTAGAGGGGTGTTTTGTCCAATTTCTGACCAGGAAACCTATTTATAATACGATAAAATGTGGCAGCATTAGCCTAATGCTCTTTTTTTTTAAAGCAAGATAGGCTTGTCTACTGATTGGCTGTCAATGTTTTTATTGTTTGGCTAGAAAAAGTTGTTCTAAACGTGATTCTAATGACATCATTCTTTATATTTCACATTCTCATAGAATTAGCCTAGGTTTTGCTAGTTTTGTTTGCGGTTGATAAAGCTACTTCACATATTAAATTGATGGTGTCTGTCTAAACTGCTTTAAATCTTGTTATGCTTTTTTCAGTAATGTCTCTTTAAATAAGGGAGCGCGTGTAAGTGTGACTGGTTTTATTTATTTTTTTCAGCTCTGCCTGTTAGTTCAGTTCGCATATCTGATAGACCCGAGCAAACAGCAGCAGACGCAGTTCAAGCCATCGGTAGCATTTTGACATTCGCTGCACGAGAGAGCCAACCCGCTTTACGTAACTGTAAAGACGCGAATAACGTGTTTGCCTTTCTCTATTCGGATTCCGCAGAAACATTTTATTCATTTCATCAGTATGAAGCTTTGAAGAACTTGGACACATCAGGTGTGATAGGACTACTAAGTAGCCTAACTACTAACTGCGTGGAGCAACAACACGAATCATTGGATGTACGCTACACACTGGATGTAATGCATTTACTTATCCCAAACAATAACGTAACTCTTATGAAAAGTAGACTTTGTGTCGGTCTGTTATTGTGATGCGCGCGGATCTAGCTTTAGTAAGCGACCATATGCGCAGACGAGCATCGCAGCGAATCTACTTCCAGATGTCCACATCTCTCTGCTCGTAACAGGTGGAGCTCGTTTCACTCCATCTGTCCGCTGCTGAAGTGGCATATATGGGCAACCAGGTTGACAAACTGTCACACCTAAGTTACGCCGAAGTTCCCACGACTGACCCGAACGGACTGGACGCGGAGGAAGACGGCCCGCGGATCGGGGTCTCGTACATTTTCGCGACCGACGACGACGAACTGGACGATAATCATCATCAACATGTCGATGGACCGGAGCAAAAGGAGAACGAGACGCCGTACAACGAGCTGGGCTGCGCAGTTTACCACCGAGACGAGTGCATTTACGAGAAGAGTGGCAACACTAGGGAACTGGAGACGTTTAGCCCGGAGAATTTACTGAACAAATGTAAGCCCGGAGACGTTCTGGAGTTCGTGTCCACCGGCCAGTACCCGCACTGGGCTGTGTACGTCGGGGACTTCCAGGTGGTGCACCTGCATCGGGCGGAGGTCAAGAACAGTTTTCTGACCGATGCTAGTCAGGGCAGGAGGGGCAGGATCGTAAACGAGCTGTACAAATTCAAACCCCTGAGTTGTGACATGGTGGTGCAGAACGCAATGGAGCAGGTGGGAGCGAAAGACAGAGAATTAAGTTGGAGAAATTCGGAGTGTTTCGCCGCCTGGTGCAAATTCGGTAAGCGGGAGTTCAAGATGGGAGTGGAGATACGGATAGGAAAACAGCCGTACAGATTAAAGATCCTTTTGCCTGACAAACAGTTTCATATTCTGGAGTTTCAGAGTTTGGAGGATTTGATCATGGAAAAGAGGAGAAATGATCAGATCGGTAAAGCGGCTGTTATACAGGAGTTGGCGCATCATTTAAGCCATAGCGGAAGTGAAGCGAACGTTCATTGACAAATGCAACAGGTAGCGGAACAACAACATATAGGCTATCTGTGGTTCTCACGAAAGCCGTTCAGAACATTTCCCCTCAAAATCAAAAGAAATATAGAAGATTTTTTAAAACTTAAATAACTGTTTTAAGAACAGTTTTAAGATTATGTCAGTAGCCATACAGCACACAAATGATACAGTAACTCTTCATCATATCAATGCGCCACTCCCATTGATGATCTGTCATGTCAGGGACTATATAAGAGAAGGATGTCACTTAAATAATTTGCCAAAAATTGTGTCCTAATTTTTCTTTTCTTCACAATCACCTTTATAAAAACAGTAAAGCACTCTATGGCAATGTGTTAAAAATAATGTTACAATGTAAAACATTTCTATATGCTTCATTTCGGCCAAAAATGTTTTTTTTTTTCTTCTTAATTTTGGGGCTTCGTGAGATTCATGACATCACGTATTATGATGGTTCATCTGACATTATGACAAATTATGTTAGAAAAATTTCACACTCAGTTATTAAAAGAATTTTAGTCAGATGATGGTATTGTTTTTAAAATGCTCTCAAGTTGTAAGCTGTTCTTTATCATGTATAATCAGGCTCTCTATGAGTTGCAAAATTGCCATAACTCCTTAAATGTGGACCTTCCTTTATAAAAGTTTTGGCACAGATGAAATTGAAGCAAGTAAACTGTGACTTAATCCACCTATATACCCTCTCTCTGTTATTCCTGTTTTTCTCAATACACATGAACAAAGCTGACCTCACAATTAGTGCTTTAGCTGGGTCAGTATCGGGCATTTCTTAAAGGCAGGGTAGGTGATTTGTTCCAGACACATTTTTTTCTTCCATTATGCTGGTTATTTGTATTTGATCTATTTATGCCTATATAAGTGGTATACATATTTTTGTGCACATATATCATCTGTGAAAGGCTTAGGACCAAAGGATGTTTGTCCAATCATTGCATTCAAATGTCGATATGATACGATGATGTCCTGTCAAAGTTTGTATTTCCACACCTCCGTGCAGCCTGCTCGTGTAGACATCATACGTCATCAGCATGTTTCATACTATGCAGAGTTAGACAGACGTCAGTCATCAAACACCTTTAAAGGTAGGGTAGGCAATTGACCTATGGCTAAGCCACGCCCCCCTCGGGCGTTACGGCAGGTGTCACAGTAGGAGACATTTCACAGGAGGCAATTGGTGATTTTTGGAGGCAGAAAAATTATATCATCTTGAAGTCACCTAAAGGGCCTTATTGGAGGGTTATATTAATAATTTTATTGTTGAGAAGGTCGATGAAAAGATTATGTAACGTTACAGGTCACAGTGTAAACATGATAACCCGCATATTGTTGCCATCACCGTTTGGTGCTACAGTATTTACATGAATCATTCAGCACAACACTGTTAACATTTGTTATCTCGGTTATTTACAGATATACGTTAATGAAGCTAATTGACATGATGTACAACGCAGCTAGAAGCTAACGTTGTTTTCTAATGTACGTGAGTACGTCTAACGGTCAAATACGTTGTTGACTCATCTTAGATCAGATGTAGACATCCTTCTGTTTATATTGGACTTTTTTTTAATTGACAGAGGCCACTTAATATGGCTGGGTTGGAATGCTGCAGGTGTAAACAAGAGCTTGTTTAAATAAAAAAGAAAATCGGATAGAAATCATTTGATGTAGTGTTTTAATATTCAGCAAATGCCTTAATCCTGAGCCTCTTCAATACCCCGCAAACTCTGCACGACTTTCATTTGCAAGCCTGCCAAAGTTGGTGTACCTTCTAATTTGCCTCCCACTTGTGAAGTTTACAATTTTCTCTGAGTGTGTGAATTGAATTGATGATGTGAGGCTGTAGTAAAAACAGTTTACTAAGCCTGGATATGCCAAAAGCCACATCTCTGCATCAACACTCAATAATAAGAGCCCTATAAATGCCACAGGCAGTAGTTCATAGCAGTGAGCCATTCAGTCGTGAGATCATGAGATGTTGATCAGGTAATTGCTTCATCCAAACTGGACTTTGACCTCTTGGGAAAACATCAGGTGGTCAAACTTGAAATGCATGGACAATCTGAAGGGTCAAAACACAGTGTCACAGAAACTCAGTATGACTTATCTCTCTCTATAGCCGTGCCTTTGAGATACGCCACAGAAGATGTGTTTTGTTAGATGAGGAAAGCATGTTTTATGATTTGAGCCCTATCGCACTGCCACAGGTCCACACTGAGTAAACACGAGATGCTGGGAAACAGGGAAGTAATTACATCTGCCATACTGTGAGTGAGTAATGGTTGCCCGCAAAGGCAACAAGACGGTCTTTGTGAATCACTGGAAAGCCAACACTATTGCCAGCTTGAGACAACAGCCCCCTAATGAGCACTTAGTCTGTGATGTTTTGAATTGTGATCTGACTCAGTGAGTACAGGTTTCTGCCTAGTCCCTTCAGCTCTTCTGTGAATAGTTAGGCATTTCAGCCATAGAGCTGCTTTCAGTTTGCCGTGCTAAAACCCAGAATAGAATTAGCTTTAGAAATTCCTTAGGGAATCCATGGCAACCTTCCAGGTTGGCCAACCCATTGCCATTATGATCAAACGGCTCTATTGATTTGGACTATGCAAGAGTTATATTAGGCCATGGATATTGTAGGGCTTTCAGATTTCTCTGAGATCTTTAAAACAGTTCCAATTCAATCAGTTCCAGATTTCTCTTATTTGAAGGGGTCATATGATTTGATTTGTTGTTTTCCTTTTTCTTTAGTGTGTTATGTAGCTGTTTGTGCATGTATAAGATCTGCAGAGCTCGAAGTTTCAAACCCAAAGAGATATTCTTTGTAAAAGTGGAGATTCAGCCACGCCTTCTTAACGCTTCATATCACTGGCCAAATGTGTACGCAAAGACAGGAGGCGTGACTTTTATTCTCGCTGTATTATTGTTGCCACCAGCCTGACGCTGTTTTTGTTTCTTTGCGAAAGCCAAACTACTTAGTTTGGCCTTCAAAAAGAGGATACAATTAGAGGAATGTTTCCAGAACGAGTACAAGCTTACATATGTACATCAATAAAATCTAAATATTTAAAAAGAGTGTGCCATTTGTAAAATCCCAGTGTACATATTGTAGCAGTATTGATTATCCATGTTAAATAAAATAAAGAAAGAAAGAAAGAAAAATCGAAATAATTGAATGTGTATTCAAGCGACATTCATCAAAATCCCATTGTAGCTTCATATATTCACTAATAAACAAAAACAAATATATATATATATATATATATATAAAGAGTAGTCCAGTAACTTTTATCAAATCGACTGTCCTTATCAGCCACATGGTTTTTGGCCGACCTTTACATCACATGACTGGGGTTGAGGTGAACTTGTGAAGCTCATTTGTCAATGCTTAAAGAGCTTATCGACTTTGTCAAACGTGCTTATTTAACCACAGCAAAACCTTTTCCTTGCTTCTCATTATCTCATTATCAGACTCTTCACACCTGAATCATTATGTAAATCTACTTTAGCTGTAATGTCTGAAGCATTCAATAGACTTTGATAATAATATTTAATTAATATTGAGTCACAATTTCCATGCAAGTTAAAAGCGTGTCCTTTAATGATATACCTTTGATATCCTCAGGGCTTAACAAAATACTTTTTAAAATCGTGTTTAAATTATGCTAATATTGTAATATTGGAGATTAAGCCTTTTTGAACACTGTTTATAACACTATAGCCTCTCATTCAGTGCCATAAAAGACTAAAGGTGAAAAACGAGCAGGAAGGAAGTTGCTTGCTGTCAATTTGCTTTTTCACTTCTTACTTATGAATCTTCCTGTTGCGAAGAGGTAGAAGCAGCTGTTTTATTTCCATATTTCCAGTCTGTACATTTTGTCCCTCAACAACACATTTACAGACCAAAACATTTACAGATTTATTTCTCTGAAATGGCAAACACGTCTCCCTTGCAAAAGTACATTTCCAATCCCTGTTAATTCTTTGTGCATATCTCAAACAGCCGTGGATCTTATTGGGTCTGTCTGTTTGAGCGTCACACATTTACATTTGGCATTTTTACCTGCTCTTCAATGCAAATTTGTTCTGCTAGATTAGACGAGAGCGTCGGTGGACAGCAATTGTCGAGTCATGGTGCCAAATATTTTCGATTGGATTCAAGCTTGGCTCCAGCCGCAGCAATTCCAGAGCACAAACCTTTTTATCCCAAGCCATCCTTTTATCCTTTTTGTTGTGTGCTTTGTGTCATTGTCCTGATGGGAAATCAATCTTCACTCTAGATGCAGATCTTTGACCAACTGAAACAGGTTCTCATATACTGGTGAACAACGTGATACTGTGCGGAGCATTTCGTTTGTGCCAAATATAACGCTTTACTCCCAGGCAGAGAGCTCAATTTTAGTCTCATCATTTCACAAATTTGGCTTCAAAACGTTTTGAGATGTTCTCAAACTCCAGGCATGATTTAAAACTGCTTTTCAAAAATGTCTTCCTTCTAACCACTCTCAAAGAGTCGTGAAATGTGAAGTGCTGTAGTTAGTGTTGATATCGCTGTTTCTCTATTTCTAACACACACACACACAGTTCCTCAGGTGTTGTAACCTGCCTCTCGGTCTGAAAGCCGCTCTGAGTTTGGTTGTTCTATCACAGTCTACCTTGACAGTTTTCTCCAACTTCACTTCAAAGTTTCACTCGAAAAGTTTCACTGTTTTAGTTGAGATCTTGCACAGTCAAAAACATGGATGAACATTGTGTACATTTGCAACATCAGGAGGCAATGCAATTAAAGGAGAAATATATAATATTGGGGATTCTAAACCATCCCGGTAAGTCCAATTGAATTGGATTTATGCAATAATGTCCTATAACCATTCGTTGTGTACAGTTATCAGTCATGTTTACACATTTGTGAATCATCACATGACAAACTGAATGAGCAACGTGAACGAAACACACTATACAGAACATAATATTTAAAACAATGACACTTATGCCAAAAAAACATGTAAATGCAGTAACATTGTATTGTTAAAGGTGCACCGTTTTTTCCTCATTTAAAGGCTCTGCTGTATTTTTTTTTAAATGACTCGAATCAGAAAGATTAAACAAGAACTCTTTAATTCTTCCTTGCTATGCCTTTAAAAAGACCTCTTTTGGATCTAAAGGCAAGTCACCTTTTCTATATCTTATTGCAACAACTATAGAGATGTTCTATGTGAGAACAATCTAGTTTATTATTATTATTAATAATTAATAATAATTAATAATTCGTTACATTTATATAGCGCTTTTCTGGAAACTCAAAGCGCTTCACATAGAAGGGGGGGATCTCCTCAACCACCACCAATGTGCAGCATCCACCTGGATGATGCGACGGCAGCCATAGTGCGCCAGAACGCTCACCACACATAGCTTACTGGTGGAGAGGAGACAGTGATGAAGCCAATTGGTGTATATGGGGATGATTAGGAGGCCATGATGGACAGAGGCTACTGGGCAAATTTGGCCAGGATGCCGGGGTTACACCCCTGCTCTTACGAAAGACATCCTGGGATTTTTTATGACCACAGAGAGTCAGGACCTCGGTTTAACGTCTCATCCGAAGGACAGTCCTCTTTTTGACAGCATAGTGTCCCCATCACTTTGCTGGGGCAGTAGGACCCACACAGACCACAGGGTG